GTTCATTCTCTGCAGCTGAATCTCACAGCTTGCTAGGTGTCTAGTCCACAGATCACTTCTCAAAATACCCCTGTGCATGTCTTATTTCCCTCAGTCCCTGGAGAAAAGCATGTGGTAAGTGGTTAATCCTAGCCATCTACCCACTCATATGCCTGGAGGCAACAGACTGGTCAAAAGGGCTTTGAGGTGTGGTGGACCTGGGTTTGAGTCCTTCCAGCTGTGTGATCCTGAGCAAGTCTCTTAACTTCTGTGAGCCTCAGTTTCTCATCTGTAAGATGGCAGCAATAGTACCTCACAGAATCACTCAACAGGTAATAATCACAGTGATGATGATTCTATTACAGAAGTGTAAGAACTTGTTTAAAGAACATCTAGTTTTACTGCTGCCCTTCTTGGACTATCACTGCTTCTTAACAACTTGTTAAGCAGGTCCTAAGGCTTCCTGGGCCCACTATACCATTTGTAGGTCCAAGCAGGGAACACCTTGAGTCCCTCCCTTTCATCTACTTTTCTTCTAGGGCATCTTCCAACATAAATCCCATTTCTCATTCCAGGTTCTCACTCCAGAAAATATTACTCTTGGATTATTTCCAATGGGACCCACTCACTGTTCCCCAAATAAGCCCCTCATATTCTTGCCCAAATCCTACCCATCTTCTACTCATTCTCTGTGCTTCTCCTGTTCTTGGCTGACAGGTCTTATCTCCCTCTCTTCCCTGATAGCTCCTAGAGGACAGAGACCCTGCTACCCTCACCGGCAGATTAAGAGGGAGGGTTAAGGTGAGAAGACTTGGGGAAGGTGGTACCATGACCCATACAGGAAGAGGAAAGCTAAATTACTAAAACCAGGGAAATTCTGAATCAGAAGTTCACCCACAGTCAGATAGGATTTTCAGGAAGGGAAAATACAGTCTAGTCTAAGAAACCAAGCAATAGAAGAGCTGTGGGGAGTCTTTACCCAGGAAAGATGCAAAGTATCCTCACAGGGCTTCCAATACACAAGGTTCTGTAAGATGATTAAAATTCGTAAATAAGGAGAAGCTAAATGTGAATGCAGAAGAAACAGTAGTGCACAGTCAGTGCAGAAACAGCCATCAATTAGGCCATGTGAAGAGCCTCAGAACACAGAGATGTGCAAACTGGGCTAGAGGGCTCTCCTCCTCTGGGAAAATTTGGTATATTTCACATTCTTTCCCCCCCTATAGTATACTGTTATTGTAATTGCCATTTTTTGGGGCTCCCAAAACAAAGCTGAGTCCACATCCTGCCTGTCTCCTTGGTGCCCAGCAGATGATCAGCCAGTGTCCTTCTCCATAATTGGGTACTGGTCCTTGCCTCCCACCCACATCTCCACACTCCTGAGCAAGCCCTTCGGATTCAGAAATCTGGCCTTGGGTCACAGAATTTTGGTTCTACCTCTAGCACCTTCCTAAGGCAGCACAAGCACCGAGCGAGCTGAAAGTCCCACATGAATCTCTGCTAACAGGGACATGCCCACCCCTTTGGTCCTCTTCCCTTCTCTGTGCAGGAATGCCTTCTTAATCCCAGCTATGGGCTCATCCTGATCCCCTGCTCTGGACCCTATCCTGGCCCAAAGGAAAGGGGAGCGTGAGGTCTCAGTGTAAATGTAGGCAACATGGCAACTCAGCCAATTCAGACCTAATCTCTGGGAGAGAAGACCCTAGTTTTTCTACTTTCTGGTCACTGCTATAGCAACAATGGATTTGGAGTTCTATCATCTTAAGAAATCACCTGCTTTCTTTTCTCCTGTTGCAATACAAATAAAACTTTTGCACAGTAAAAACAGTAGAAAATACATGTTTTGTCTGCTTTTTTTTTTTTTTTAACTTCACATTACAAAAACATGAGTCTCCATCTTGTCTAGTCTCTAGTGGTCCAGTGGCTGCATAATATCCCCTCAACCTGACATGTCACTATTTAACCAGCTCTCTATTTTTAGATACTTAGTTACTTCTAAATTGATGCTAAAGCACTGCAATGAGCTTTTTCCCCCCCCATTTGGAATTATTTTCAAGAAGAACTTTTCAGAAATGGAATCCATGAATCAAAGAACAACAGCATTTCAAAGGCCCTAAATGCATAGTGTCAAATTAAATTCAGCTGGGTATTTTTTGCTAATTTATATTGCTCTGAGCAATATGAAAGTATTCAGTTTCAGTACATTGTCACCTATATTTGGTATCATGATATCTAACATTTTTGCTAATTTAAAATGCATGATGGTATCTTACTTAAAAAAAATATGTCCTTCTTTAATCACTGGTGCAGTTGGAAGACTTTCCTTAAGTTTGTTACTGGTCACAATCTCTTGTGTACGTTGACATTGCCAGAATTTGTTCTGGTGGCCCAAACACAGTTTGGGTTTCCTGCACTTACTAATCTCCTTGACACAACTTAATCCCTCGACTTGTCTACCATTTAACCAAAATAAAAAAAATGTGTGTAGGAATTTTTAATCATGAATTAAGAGATTGTCACTTGCAGTTGAAAGTTGCAGTTCCAGTACAAACCCCTGTGTTTTTTTTTTAAACCATGCGACATTAATTCACTTTTCCTCTCATAGTGTCTCTTTTCTGTGCTGTCAAAAAGAGTAACACCACTTCTCCACTTCCTTGACTGTGTGATATGAACACTTTGGGCCTGTTAAAGGAGGGGTCAGCCAACTTTTTCTATAAAGGACCATAGAGTAAACATTTTCAGCTTACAGATGTCTCTGTCACAGTGACTCAGTTCTGCTAGCGTAGCATGAAAGAAGCACAAAGACAGTAAATGAATGACTGTGGTCCCATGAAGCTTTCCTTATGGATACTAAAATTTAATTTTATATTTGTATATAAACATAATTTATACTTCATAGAAATTAGAAAAGCAATATATAAAATAGTGTACATGATATCATTATGCTATAATATATAATATCCTTACATTGCATATATTGTTATCAATGTACGATTCTGTGATGGAAGAAAATAAATATAATTTTATTTTATGTAATTTTAATGGATCACAATATATTGTGCTTCTTTTGATTCTTTTCCCACCATTTTAAAATGTGAAATGTGAAACCATTCTTTGCTCATGGGCTATACAGAAACAGGCAGCAGCTGGATTTGGGAACCCCTGCTCCATGACCCCCGTCTAGGATAAGATCTCATGGATCAGTCAAAACAAATAGGTACACTGGACAGGTAATAGTTCTAAAGATGATTTCTAGTTGTGAAAACATGGGACAAAGGCAGGGAATGATCTGCCCAAGGACGGGCAGCTGGCTGGATCAGATCTGCTAGAACAAACCCTCGAGCAGTATCAGCTGCAGCTGGCAGCCTCCCCAGCCACGTGATCCCAGACCTGCTCCACAGTGCCCCTCCCAGGCCTGGACTGCCAGGGCCAAGACCACATCAACATTAACAGCAAAAGAGCAAACCCAGTTCTTCTGGTTTCTACAAAGAGACCCTTGATCTCCAACCACAAAGCCATGTAAGATCAAACACCGATTTTCCACACTCATGGAGATGTTCAGCGGTACATAGACGGGAGCTGAAATCTGCCATAAACACTCTGCAAAAACTCAACTTTTAAATCTCTCCAATTACAAACCTTCTCTCTCATAATGTGGGACCACAGCTACATCTTTCTTCTTAGTCTGCTTTTGAGGAGTTCTCACTCTTAGAGGACAAAACCAGCAACAATAACAAAATCACCACTGTCAGAAACAGGAAACATTACCACAAAGTGCAGCCCAAGTGGTAGGAGGAGAGAGAAAAATCATAAAGGAAGTCCAAGAGTTGATTCTGCCTGCCACAAAGTACCTGGCCTGCCTGAGGTTTAGTTTCTCAGCTCAAAAGAGCATAATCAGCGCCAGTATAAGAAATATACTTGAATGTGCTCTGTAAACTGTAGAGTGCCTTACAAACACTGGTTGACAGTCCCGTCGTCAGGCTTGTGCAAGCTCTGGAACTGGGATCCTGAATTTCTGAGCCCCATTCAAAAGGCGAAGCTCATCATCTTCTATTAAGGCAATGTTTTCAGATTTTTCCCCCAAGTCTGCATTTCTTTCCTGCATGAATGGGAAACTGAATTCATTATGAATTCCCCTGGCACCAGCACAAATCCAAAGTGTATGTGGTTTGAAGTGACGAATGATAGGATGCTATTGCCGGGGTTTGTGGGGGCTGGCAGCACAAAAGAGTAGGCCCCATCTTCCCCAGCAGTGGCACCAACAACTTCTGCATGGCACGGAGGCTGCAGCCCGCGCGGCACACATCACAGGGCCTCCCCCAGTGTCAGGGCTCGGCCAGCCCAGGGTCTCGGTCAGATACACACCCCAACCTGCCTTTCTGGGAACACAGTCACCTAGACAAGAATTCTTTTCTTGGGTTTGATCAGTCCCTGCTCAGGGCTTAAAAAGACTCTGCCTTACTTTGTCCAACCTGTTCATTTTCCTTATGGAGAAACGGAGCCTCATACAGTAAAGGTGATTTGCCCAAAGTTATATACACCCCAGTCTTAACATTTGGAGGCTTTGGTGTGGGTTCTTAGCCTATACCAGGTGAGCTTGATCAAACTGTCATTATTGAGAGATGATTAATTCTGTCCACAACGAAAACTAACATTTCAAAAGCCCTTTAGAGCCAATCCAGTATATTCACGATATGATGCTCACAGTAAGAAGTAGGATAGGGTGGGCATTATGATCACCTGCATTTTGTCTAAAAGGAAAGAGAAGCTCAGAGAAACTAAATAATTTACAAGTTTACACAGGTAATAAGTGGCACCTTCTGTTACCAAATACTGTATTTTCTCTAGCAATGGATAACTGCTTCAAATCCCTCAGTAATGATGCAGAATTAAAACTTGTCTTGTAAGATTTATAGGATATATGTGAGCATATGTGGGAACTAAAAACTTAGCAGCTTATGAGAACAAACATCTATGTTCTCCTACAATTCCAGAGTGTCGGGAACACGCGAGCCACTTACCTGGGAGGCCAGTTGAGAGTCCTACAAGCCTGCAGTCATCTGGAGACTTCAGTGAGTCTGAGGTCCACTTCTAGGCTCTCTCCTGGGGTAACGGCAGGCCTCAGGGCCTCACTGACTGTTGGCTGGAGGCCTCAATTCCTCTGTGCAGGCTGATGTGACCACTGACTTCCCTCAAATTAACTGAGACAGACAGAGTGCACACGGAGGTTGGAAAGGGAAGTCTTGCATTATTTTTTAATTCATCATTATTTTTATTTATGATATTTTATCTCATTTAGAGTGACATACCACTCTACATCACTTCTGCAGTATTCTATTCACTAGACACACGTCCTAAGTCCAGCCCTCACTCAAGGGAAGAAGATACTATGAGGACGTGGACACAGTGAGGTGAGGACAGAAGGGCCATTTGGAGGCTGGCTGCCCTAGGAGCCCTTTATAACTCCAAACTCTTTGCTGACACCCACAAGATCATAATTTTTATATCACCTGTTTTACTGAGAAGGCATTAAACTTCATGAAATTCACAACTCACAAGGCATTAAACTTCATGAAATTCACAACTCGCAATTTCGTATGGTCCAACCTAATTTATAGGCTCTGGTGGTTCTCAGACATTCACTAACACTCATTGATTATGTTCTCTTATTAATCATAATGTTGGTTAAGTCCTTTTTCTATTTTATTGTTATAGGGCAACCCCAATGTGAAATGGGTTGCCTGACTGTGGGTCCTCACCTGTGTGCTTAAAAGAGGCTTACGAGGCTCAAGAGCAGGCACACACAAAAAGGTTACTATAGGATATATTTACAAAAAGGGGAAAATGAAGAAAGGACTAACTCAGGGAGAAAGAGGAGAGATAAATTGGTGAATGTGTCCTGCCAGTTCTGCTGAGCTAGGACCCCAATAGCACACTGAAAATGAGCGAAAAACCAAGCACCCCCAAGGCTCACATGTTTGTTTATATACCAAGGCTGGCTGCTTAACTCCACCCTCAGTTCCCAGCAATCCTCCATTTATTTGGTGATGATGGCATTATGGGATTTGTAGTCCTTGGCGCCTTGGATCTCTTTGGTCTGGTGTGGGGTGGAGTCCATAAAACCTGTTTGTGGAGTTCGTTCAGGACATCCTTTCCCCAAACATTATCAGTTGTAACAGCATATGTGTTCACTGGCAAAATGTTAATATGGATATTGACACGTATTAACTAAGACAGTTTTGGTCTTTCAGAAAACACACGGTGGAAAATGGATTTATACTAACTCCCTGCTTTTCTGGGTCCTCCCTACCCAACCTCATCAGAGAGAAACAAAAATCCTCACACTCCTGCCCTAGGAAGTTACCCAGACTTTAGTTGTTGAGAAGGCACCAGGTGAGAGTGGGCTGCTCCAAAGATGAACACTAAACAACTTTTTTTGTGTTTTAAATTGTGAGCCTGCAAGGGAGGCAATCGTGGCAGCTATTTATTGAAGGATGAAAGAAAGAGAAGGACAGGAAAGAAGATCAGGATGGTATGAATATGAGTGTGACAGTCCTTGCATTTGTGTGTACGTGCAGGTAATATATAGTACATGTACATGTACATGTATGCAATGTGTAAAATGTGGATGGAGATTATATAGTCATGTGAGTTAGGTATTGTTATTAGATACATAATATTATCAATATGCATATGAGGTAATTCTGTGACGGTCAGCATTTCAGTGATCGTTTCCATTCCCACTGATTCCTAAACACATACTTTCCTACTAAGATACCTACTTAGTGACTCAAAGATGCTCATTTTTAAAGGAAGTTAGCGGTGTCTACATTCATTAGCACAATAGGCAATTATCTGTGCTCACTCTCCTCCTGACACTGCTAGGCCCAGTGACAGAGACAGACTCTGTGAGATCATTCAAAAGAGACCATCTAAGGTGTGATGAGGATGAAAAGTGGCTGCAAAGTTGAAAAAGGAACAACCCAGCAGCTTAGAAGGAATGGTGTCATGGTGGAAATACCTGATGGGGATGCCCTAATATTAGTTCAGTTAAAAATAAATAAAAATTTTAAAAATTGACACTGTCAACAGCAACAAGTGTTTGAAAGAAGGAGGTTTACTCAATAGGGAACAGAAATGTAACATAGCGTTTTCTCTTAACTGGAGAGAAGATAAGGAATGACAGTCTTCAAAACTCTTTCACCCAACCTCCGTGGCTCTTTCCTTTTAGATTTTTTGGATCAAACTCTGCTTTATGTTCTAGAATTTCTCCATTAGCTCAATGTAAGTTGTGGTCGCCTAGAATCTTTGAATTAGGTATGTTCCTAATTCATAGGCACAGCATGTAAATTAGGTCCATCTTCAAAATATCTAAGGACAAGCTCTCACTGTATTGAAAGGTCCATTCTGTATTTGAATCAATCTAGTAATTAGTCATTTCTTCATTGTCTTGAGCTGAAATCTGCTCTAATTTTCATTTCAAAGTCTTAATTCTATCCTCTGGGACCACACATGTCTTCTACATAAAAATTTTTTTTTTTTTTAAATAGAGGCATGTTTTATTTATTTATTTGTTTGTTTGTTTGTTTTGTTTATACATGCACTGGGTATAGTCAGAAGCGCGGGAGGGTGAGAGAATTCACCAGAGCCAGAGCGGGGAGCAGAGCAGGCAGAAGGACCAAAGTACACTGCTGAGGGGAGCAGCGGGCGGCAGGAGAGGTCTGCGCGCCATGTGGGACCCTCCTCTGGTGGCTGGGGAGCAGCCGGGGATCGAACTGGCAACACAGAGGCCGCGGGCAGCTTCGCAACCCAGTGCTCAACCGCTGCGCCACCGGGGAGGCCCTACATAAATATTTTTCATTAATAGATCATAAATTCAATTTTGGAATTACATCCAGCATTCTATTTAATGAAATTAGGTTAGGTTAGGAGAGGGTAGGATAGAATACAATAGAATAAAAAATATCAGAGTTCATAGCAAACCTGTTTGAGAAAAACAGGTTTTAGTTTTCTAAGTTTCGTTTTAGTTGTTTATAGATTTATGTTTATAAATCTATAAACAATTAAAATGTACATGGAAATGTGTACTAGCTTGTGATATAAAATGTATTTCTTATTCTGGGTTGCTGTTGAAAAGTTTGAAAAACCAATTCCTTCAGATAACAACTATGTCACAGAACCTACATCTTCCACCCGCTGGATTCAGTATCCCTTAAATATCTCTCATCTGTCTTGATTTCAAATTCCCTCCCTATTTTTTGGTCTCTCCCCACTGACTGTGCTCTCACTTGAACGTTCCTCTTACAACAGAATGCACAGAACCTCCAGGACTGGAGACAGAGGACAATTCATACCTTTGGGGCAGGGAGACAGGCCGATTCTCTGCTTCATTGTTTGCTAAGATCTCAAATGTCTTCAGCAGTGGAGAACCAAGATCTTTGACATTATCACCAGACAGCTTTTAAGAAGTTGCTTGTGGGAGGCTTGGATTAAAAAATATGCAATGTGTATCTACTCTATCAGTGCTCAGGCTAGTGCCGAGAGGCAGTAAGACCATCATCCTGAGCATACCAGGCCCACTCGTTCCTTATCTCATGGAATCTGTGAACTATGCACTATTATTTCCACCTCGTTTTACAATGAGAAAACTGAGGCTCAAAGAAGCAGATAAGGAATATCTCAACATATTTAATTCTGTCCTAAAACTTGCAATAAATAGTCATCAGACAACCTACAATGTGAGGTAGGAGACAATAGTGGGAGCTTTCAATATAGCTCATAAAGAACACTTCACTATTTTCAAGATGCTCTCAAATCTAATGATACATGAAGGGCAATTGATACTATTCCCATCTTCCAGAGAATATAGGCCCAGGGAGATTGAGCTCATTGTCCAAGAGCACACTACCAGAGGGGATAGTGTAGCTACCTCTGCACTGGATCTCAACTATAAAACCAGTGCTGTTTTTATAGGCCTCTCTGCCTAATGCTGCCAGATTTGCCCAGACTTACCGAAGCAAACAGTTCATTATCCTTCCTGGTTTATACATAGAGGGGAATCTAGGGTGATAATACTCGATCCCGCTCTCCTGTTATGGCCAAGATGTCATTAGCCTTTGTGATTCTAGGATAAGATTGTTTCTTCCTGTAAATGGCCATCAAGTTTGGGCCAAGTTGTAAACATTATTTACATCAACCACAGAGAGCAGCTGAATCTGTGGTCAGGGTGCCAGGGAATATATGAGAAAATCAGGCAGCCTTAATCTCTGTAGCATGTGGAAGGAAATAAAGACCACCTTGACTGATGGTTTACCAGATATTTCTGAAGAGGATTAAGTCTGGCTGCCACAGAAATGGCTGGGGAGTCAAGGTGAAGAGAACTCATTGAGGTATGGCCTTCAAAGTTTAAACTTCTAATCTCCAAGGACCAGAGTGACTTCATAAGGAATTCAAGAAGAACGCAATTCACTCAACATATAATAGGATCCTAAAATCCTAAGAATGTTTTCTGAAGGCCAGAAAAAGGAGAGATGTGTACCAGTGCCCGCTGTGGGATGACTGAAGTCTCAGGCAGACTATGCAGTGTTACATTGATAACTCAGGGCTACAAAGGTATTACGGGACTGATGACATTTGCAGGTGTTGACACCTACCCAAACTCATCCTCTAAACGGGGAGCTTAATAGATAGAAGCAAGTGGCTAAACATATCCATGCATTCACTCAAACTAGCAGACTGGCAAAGTTAAGTCCAGAAATAAATGGAGTTTCATCTCTGGAGTTAAAACTTAAATACTCTTATTGGATTTTTGAGGTGATTCTCCAACACCCCCCACATACCCACTGTTTTTCATCCTTTAGGTAGGGGTTGGTCTTTTGACAATAAGCCTGACTCGCATTTGCAAAACATAAAAAGTGAACTTCCAGATGGACTTCTCAAAGTGCAATCTAAACATGAGGGAAACAAGAAATGCAAAAGTCAAAGGCGAGTGGGAGGTTTTCTTCTCCCCCAAGTCTCTGGGGAGTCCAATTCATTCAACATGCTCACATTCTGGTTTCATTTCCATTTTCTATAATAAGAGATGAAGATGTAATATGTCAATGTTGATGTATCAGAGAGATGATGAATTCCAGGCTAAAACACGGCGACATCTGCTTGGAAACGAGATGGAAGAAATTAAGATGCTTACCATGATTATTTTCCTCCCGAGCAAATTTATAGTATCTTTGGTCTCAAGGGCAGAAATTCCAGACAGATTAGCTTTTCATCTCCTAGGTAACTCTCTGAACTGCATAGCTATAGAAATTCATTGCTTTAACACTGGGTGTCCTTATTAGGGAAATATCTTAAATTCTGTGCCAACAAAGAAACTCATTGACTACTAAGCAATAGTCATGAAAATATTTATGACATGGATTACAAACAGGTGCTCCAAATAGAACAAAAGCTGGGGTTATTCACCACTTGGACTAAATGGGAAAAAATTATTTACACCTAGCACAGTACGTTTTATGCTTTTAGTAAATATTTTTTTCTGGGTGATGTGTCCTTATATTCTAAGGATGGTAAATTTGCTTAAGTACCAGAGGGACTTGGCAAATGTAAATAGGGTTATATAAATAATAGGTGCTAAAGCAATAGAGTTGCCTATACTATATTCATTCATAAATTATTCAACAAAGCTGTTTCCAGCCCTTACTACATGCCCATGTTTGGTATAGGAGATGCAAAGATAAATACAATATGACCTTTGCCTTGTTAAAATTTGCTTCATTTATTCTTTATAAATGTCTGAGGAAGCTGTGAGGGTAAACGTGTGTCCATTTCACAGAAGAGGAAGCTGAGGCAGGGTGCGATCACCCACCAGGAAGTGTCAAAGTCGAGGCTAACATCTCGTTCGTGTTTCTTCTGTCCACTTCTTTTTTTTTTTGAAAGTGTTTTTCTTTTTTTAGATTTATTATTTATTTATGCAAGCACTGGGTACAGTCAGAAGTGTGGGAGGGTGAGAGAATTCACCAGAGCCAGAGCAGGGAACAGAACAGGCAGACTGATGAAATACACTGCTGAGGGGAGCAGCGGGAGCGGCAGGAGAGGTCTGCTACGCCATGTGGGACCCTCACCGGTGGCTGGGGATCGAATCGGCGCTGCAGAGGCTGTGGACAGCTTCACAGCCCAGTGCTCAACCACCTGCGCCACCAGGGGAGGCCTGTCTCCTTCTTTATACACTGCCATGATTGAGACCAGACCTGAAGGGCGTTTGTATGACCCTAGGGTCTAAGTGTCTCAGGATATCAAAGCTGACTTTGACCCAATCTTAACATCCCGATGCATTCCATCTTCATTTTTCATCCAGATGTTTAGCACTCTGTATCCACAGCTGTGGTCTCCATCAGGACTAAGTGGTACGTTACAGGAGTGACTGAAATACTCATTGAAAAACTATTCTCTTCCAAATGGGTTTTGAAATGATCCAATGGGGGAAAGGGTTTGGGCCTTTTTGAAGCAGCTTTTTTCAGAACTTTCGCACAGGAGTTGTAAAATGTTCCCAAAAATACTGCTTGGCATGAAAACCTCTTTCAATGCAAATGAACCATTGATAAAAAGGAATTTGTCAAAAGAGATGGGAGTTGGGGGGAGGGGAGTGAAACTCATTAGCCATTTGGTTGCCAAGGAAGCAAAGCTGCAAGAGCATCCTGGATTGGACAGGAAGACCTGGGGTGGAGCTAAGCACATGGGCCACATGGGGTGAATAAAGGACAAAAAGGACATTTTGCACCTTTCTTAGGTATTAGTGACTCATTTTTTTTTTCCTGATGGAATTAATATGTGGCTATTTTAAAACAACCATCATGGAATGAATATAATACAATAAAATGGAAATAATTTGGGGGTAAGAAAACCTACATTTGAGGATACCTTCACCTGTTAGTTGTGTGTTCTTGGGTAAGTCATTGGACTTCTCAGAACTTCCACTTCCTCATCTGAAAAATGAAGATAATAATATATATCATAAAGCATCAATATGATGATGTGAAAATGTCTTATTAAATTGTAAAGCAGTATGTGAATCCAAGTTTTCCTTTTCCTTTTCTAGTGACATAAAATATTCAAATCTAAACATCTCTGTGTTCACATATTCACCACTAATGCAATCTAACATTTAGCTGCTCTAGCCTTCCTCCTGCTAGCTCTGAATCTTTCCTAAGAATGAACATTCTGGGAGTCGGTTCTGTGGGTGTCCCCATGGCTTCAGGTCTGTGATCACGGACTTTAGGATATTTTCTGTGTCCCTGATCAGAAAAGCAAGTCCTTCAGCTAATCTTCCAAGCACTCACACACACGAGTAGTAAACACAGTGATTAATTCTGCTATCTGACAGCTATCTTGAACTTGATTCTTGATTTCTAACCTCTCTAGCCTTTTCCTGTACCAATTGCTCTCATTTCAGTAAAGAACAACTCCATTCACCCATTTGATTTGCTTAGAGCAAGAGTGGGATGACACAGAAACATTAATTCCAAAGGGCACCTGTACCCCTATGATTATAGCAGCACTATTTATAATAGCTAAGCTATGGAAACAACCCAAATATTCAAAAATAATGACTGGATCAAGAAGATGTGGTACATATACACCATGGAATATTACTCAGCAATCAAAAAGATAAACACATGCAGTTTGCAGCAACATGGATGGAGCTAGAAGGGATCATGCTCAGCAAAATAAGCCAGAAAGAAAAAGAAAATTACCAGATGGTCTCACTCATAGCAGGAATTTAGAAAACCTAAATAAGGGGCCAGGAAAAAGACTAATTAATACAAAGTAAAAATCAAAATCAACAAGCAACTATACACCAGAGACACACTATTGGGGGGATAGGAGAGGAAGGATTAGGGTCAAAATAATGGGGGGTACAATTGTATGGGGAATATAACCAAAATAAAAATGCATATATTGTGCAAAAATGAAAAATGATGTAAGAATTATATAAAATAAAATATTAAGGGCCTCCCCAGTGGCGCAGTGGTTGAGTGCTGGGTTGCGAAACTGCATGCAGCCTCTACAGCACCAGTTCGATCCCTGGCTGCCAGGTGAGGGTCCCACATGGCGCGCAGACCTCTCCTGCCGCCCACTGCTCCCCTCAGCAGTGTACTTCCTCAGTCTGCCTGCTCTGCTCTCCCTTCTGGCTCTGGTGAATTCTCTCACCCTCCAGAGCTTCTGACTGTACCCAATGCTTGTATAAATAAATAAGTAAATCTTAAAAAATAAATAAATAAAATATTTAAAAAGTTTAATAAATAAAAAATTGGGAACAACTTGGTTAAATATCTAAAGAATTATGCTGAAAAGAAAAAATAAATAGAATGTTTGCATTTATGTAATTTCATTTTATAAATATACAAATAAAGCAAAGATAATAATATGTCTTATCTTTGGATTCTAGTAGCAATGGACATGCTCTTTATCTTGGCTGTATCAGTATCAACATACTAAAAAGTTGTGACATTGTAGTATAGTTCTTCAAGATCTTACCATAAGGCTAAACAGGGAAAAAGAAACATGGGATGTCTCTGTATTATTTTGTACAACCACAGGTGAATCTACAATTATCCCCAAATAAAATATTTATTTAAAAAAAAAAGAGTGGGAGTCATCTTTGGATCTTCTATTCCATCCAGTCCCACCAAGACTCAACCCATTCCTCATACTTTCACTTCTACCTCAAAACACATGATGAACACAACCACTTTCCCACCTCCACCAGGGTCACCTCCTCCAACCCACAGCCTTCATTGTCTGGAAGACTACCCGAGAATTTTCACTGGTCTTCCTTTTAGCCTTCCCGTTTACAGCCTATTCTCCCTGCTGCAACCAGAGCTACCCTTTAAAGATAAAGGAGATAAAAAAAGATCAGTCACAAGACTTCCAATAGTTTGCACCATTCAGAACAAATGCCAACGTTAACCATATTCTGCAAGATCCCAGTTGAGCTGATCTGGCTTCCCTCTACCTTTCAATTTCATTTTTTCCCACTTCATTTTACTCAAGCCACTTTGGTGCTCTAACCCAGCAATTACCCTCCTGCCTCAAGAAATGTGTGCTTCTCACTCCTCTTAGTGTAATGTCTTCTCAGGCTATACAAGGGTCTCTCCACAGGAGATTCCAGGCTATTGGCCCAGCCTGGCCTCATGGGATTCACCGACTGGAAAGATGAACTTTAGCTTCATTAACGATTGTGAAACTCTTTAGCTTGCAATGCCTAGGAACTACCTCTTTCTCTAATTCTCTTGAAATTTTTCAGCTATGGAAGCTAGTCACCAGGAATGTGTTCGCAAATATCCTTCAAGTGTTCTCTCCTCTGGGCTGGAGACAAAAGTCCTAACCTCAGAAGCAAAATATGTTCTCGTCCTGAAGCTGGCAGAAGAGATGGGTCAATTTTGTACCAACCATCTAAGGAAGCTTCGAGCCTTGATGAAAGGATTTCCCTCCTGGCTTGTGAGGGACTGGAAATTATTCTTTCTGCATCTTCCAAATCCCTCTGAGGTGAATTATCCTTACTAATGATGGAATAAGTGAAAATCCTTAGCAAGACATTCAGATCTCACACGAATATCAATTCTTGTGGTTCCCGGTAACTCTCAGTATGATTTACACAGGCGTTAACCAATAACCAAAGTTACTCTTCCATCCAGAGTGTGCTGAGAGAGAAAGCTATTTTCCTGAAGATTGTTTCTTTGACATTCACACTCCAACAAGGATAGTCTCTTCTGGGTCTAATTTGACTTCTTTATGTGCCAAGAGGAAACTTTCTATCTGAAGGGCAGGCACACAGATATCTGAAGAGGTCTTTAGGAGGTACTTTATAATTTCCTTGAATATCCTAGAATGTTTGGAGAATAATGTGTATTGATTAACTGTCTCTTTCAAAATATTTAAAGTTCTCCCATCCTTTCATTTTTTATTTTATTTTATTTTTTTTTATAATTTTTTTTTTTATAGAGGCATGTTTTTATTTATTTATTATTTATTTGTTTGTTTTTGTTTATACATGCACTGGGTACAGTCAGAAGCACGGGAGGGTGAGAGAATTCACCAGAGCCAGAGCGGGGAGCAGAACAGGCAGAGGGACCGAAGTACACTGCTGAGGGGAGCAGCGGGCGGCAGGAGAGGTCTGCGCGCCATGTGGGACCCTCCTCCGGTGGCCGGGGAGCAGCCGGGGATCGAACCGGCGCCGCAGAGGCCGCGGGCAGCTTCGCAACCCAGTGCTCAACCGCTGCGCCACCGGGGAGGCCCTCCTTTCATTTTTTAAAAAAGGGAATTAAAAGAGAAGAAAAAAAGATGACACAGACTCAGTCATCCATGATTTCTCACTAAAGGATTGTGGTCTAAAATCCCATAACATGTATTAGAGCTGCCCAATGACAGTGGAAGCTGCCCAATGGCAGTGGAACCCTTGACTTCAGAAGTCAAGGGTTCAGATCAGAACACATGACCTTTAGCTGCCCAGCACAGAGGGAAGTGGAGGCCTCTCCTACCCTCTGTTATTTAGCCTGAAAGCATGTGCTAAGCCTCGGCCAGTGTTCTAATAGCAAATTGCTTCCAACCAGTGACTGGTCACAGAAAGAGCAAAAAACAAAATCTATGACCAATGATATGGCAGAAGAGTAACACCAGCATAGCTGAGGTTTATTTTTCACTATTATGTCCTATTTGCAGGGTTTCTCACCCTCTTTTTCTTGCAGCCCAGTCTCACCTGGTCATTCCAGGCGATTAACACTGGCAGATTTAGGGACCTATTGGTGGCACAGCAAAGCCAGGGCCCACAGGGTGAATTTTGTTAGTGAAAAGAGCACAGGAACTAGAGACAGAAGACCAGGGCTCCATTGCTGATTGTTGCTATGAGCTGTGTAATTTTTACAAATCCCCTCATTTTCTGAGTCCTATTGCTATAACTATATAATCCAAAATCAGCAAAATTCAAAGAACTACTCTTATGGAGTAGGCAATATCACCCTGCATTACAGGTGAGGCCTATGGAATTAGTAAGGAAAGAATGGAGACAAAGCAAAATTTCTCCAGTTATGTTTCTAGTGTCTGTCTGTACCTGCCCCCTTGAATAGCCTTGACTGTGGAGGGAAAGGAGCGATCAACCACATGCTTATCACATGATTTCAGGCTAAATAACAGAGGGCAGGAGAGGCCTCCACTTCCCTCTGTGCTGGGCAGCTAAAGGTCATGTGTTCTGATCTGAACCCTTGACTTCTTAAGTCACTGGATAGTCTTGCTGGTCACCCTAGTGTCGGGGTCAGATGACGACATGGCCTCAAGGGGTCACGGCCATGTCTCCTGTTTGCATGGCCCAGTTCCAGATTCATCAGGAATAGGCGCTTAACTTCCACTGTCATTGGGCAGCCTCTATTATATGTTATGGGATTTTAGACCACAATCCTTTAGATTTCCCAGCAGTGAGAAGCCTAGCATCAGGTGCACACAGAGAGGAAAACTACAGCATGGAGTGACTGCTGTCCAGCCCAACACACAAGACCACAAGAAGGGTGTTCTTACACCCTCCTGGCTTCTAAGGTGAAGGAAAGGCTGGTCCCTGAATCTCTGGGGGCCACTGTAAGTGGGTGTGCCTCACAAGTGGAAACAAGGGCCTCAATTCATCAAGGGATGAAACAAGTCTGGGACCTTCACTTTGACAATAAATGTTTTCACATTAAAAGTGCACTACTTTCAATAGTCAAGATAGATATGGAAACAACATAAATGCTCCCCAAACAGATAATTGGATAGGGAAGATGCGGTAATATATAGTAATGGAATACTACTCAGCAATCAAAAAGATAAACTTATGCCATTTGCAGCAACATGGATGGAGCTGGAAGGGATCATGCTAAGTGAAGTCAGAAGAAGAAAGATAAATATTGGATGGTTTCACTTACATGTGGAATCTAGAGAAACCAAACAAAGGGTGAAG